TGCACAGACCCCCACACTGCTCAAGCCCCGCAACTCCCCTGCTGCCGTTTTGCACTATTTCTGCTTTACAGGGTTTTTATACACGCTTTGCGACTGGCACTAACTTGGGTTGTGCCATCAGGGGAGCGGGACGAGGCGCAGGCTGGCTTCGGGGTGCTCTAGGCAGAGGTCGTTGTCGCAGAAGGTGTCGGCAACAAGGCAGGGGGGGCCGCAGGGCTCGGCCCCCCGCACTGGCTGCTATTTATTGTACGTCTCGATAGCCCGAAGTCCTGGAGAGAGAAGCGCGGCTCCGTGTGCCCCCATCTCTTGAGGCTTATCGGAGTCCGATAAAAACGTTATTGACCCATGGTTGAATTGTTTCCCTTCCCCACGAGAAATGTTAGGGTAGGACGAACTGAGAACTACGGCAACTTTTGTTAAAGATTGTTTTCAAGGGAAAAATCCCCAACGACATTGAGAAAAAACATCGGTTTCTTAATCGGAATCTCCTGTTTCCCCTCCACTCCTTTCCCCGCGCTCTGTATCTCGAAATGGAACTACCTCAGTCTAATAAAGTTTACTTTTCCCACATGCAAGTCCCCTCCACTTGAAGCGAAATGGAAACCTTTCCTGTCCAGGGCCCTGCGCGACACGGGGCGGGGGGAGCCCGGGCTCGGAGGGAGAAGGAGGAGGAAGGAAAAGGTCTCCTGCTGTTGGCAAAGCTCCTGAACAAACCGATCCCGCTTTCCGCGGCCACTCCACATCCCTCACCCCGCTCCCCACCTCGCCCCGGGATGGGCAAGATCGGGCCCGAAGCGAGTGGCCCAGACGGGACGGGAGGAAAAAGCGTCGCTTTCCCCCAGTGTTTTCTCCAGTGGAAATCCCACCCGAGGGCAGGGTGTGGAGGGATGGAGCCCGCGGGCAGGCAGAGCCGAGCGGGGCCGGCGCCGGGGTTTAGCTCTGCCCTTTTTACCTCGAAACGCCTCTGGGATTTCTAAACAAGTAAACAGAGGAGCTGCCAGGAGAAACTATTGTTCTGGCTTGGTCAGATTTGCAAACCTTTGCAGTGGGGGTGTGAGTGGGGCAAGGAGTGAGCGAAGAGCCTGGCTGCGGCCGCAGCCCGGCCCGGGCAGGGGAAGGAACCTGGGCAATCCTACATCGCTTCGCCCCGGTGGTTCATTCCCCATCCATCCATCGCTCCTGCGCCGAAGAACGACTTTCAGGTGTCCAATTCGCTCAGAGAGAAAGAAAATTAAATAGAAAGAGGTTGAAAAGGTGAAAAAAGGTTTCCTTACACTAGCGGTTTGCAAAAGCAGCAAGAGAGGGAATAAAAAACACCAGCAGCCAGACTGACTCCATAACCTGTTGGGTGTGAGTCTGCTCGGGTTAACCTGGTCGGTTTGGTTTTGGTGAGCCCGTGTGATCCGGGCTGTCTCATGGAAACACGGCGCCGTGCTCGCGGGTCTCCCCACGGTGCTGCCCCGGGCCCGGTGAGGCCGGCACAGAGAGAGGGGTACCGACGTGTCAGTGTGTCGGGCACAACAAAGGCTCCCGGCTCCCATTTGAAACTCAAAGGGACTCTCCGGAAGAGCCCGCAGAGACGGTGCGGATGCGCCCTTACATATGTAACCCGCCCCGGGTTTCTCCCAGCCCTTCCCCTGCCCCCTCCCTGCCCAGCGATCACCGCACACAGCTCATTCCCCCCCTCCCCGCTCTCCCTCCGAGGTTCTCACGGTCCCTTTTGTCTCAGGATCCCGCAGCCCACCGCTGGGA